TGAGTAGAGCAAACAGCGAAGGGACCACGCGGAAGACCAAATCACCAGATGTGGCGACATCCACTGAAGCTACAGTAGCTGCAGCAGAACAGGAAGAACAAGAACACCTTTCTTTCGTGATCCATCTCCTTTATCTCAGTCTTTGCGCCTTCATCTCCCACTTATCACACAAAGTGGATGTTTAGATCAACCGTTCCAGTCAACAAAACAAAACCGGCATATCTTTGCAAGATTGTGTTAGTCTTGACAATTATAATAAAGAATCTAGTAGATCCAAACATACACGAGCAATCCAACCGTGAACTCAGAACTAAATTAATCCTAATCTATTATTGATTTCTGTCAATTTCCATATCCTATTCCTCAATTGACGATGATCTGAGTATGCAATCTAACATTTTCTTCCTGTTTCTCCTCTTTTTGCTGATTAATTTATGTAACATCTCTCGGTAATCTACAAGACATCATTTGTATTCTTATTTGCAACTACATCGAATAACATTCCAATAAATGTTCATGTTGCTTGTGGTGACTGAAAGCTTATTGTATCCTTTTCCCTACACTGAAGGCAACATCACATGCAGATCAATCGATTTCCTATTTATTTCATCTGTATTTAAATTTAGCACGCGTCATTTAAAAATTCTAAATATTAAAAGCTATAAGAATTTTTAATTAAAACTAATAAATGTTACTTAGAATATGTTTTATGGGATGATATTAAAATTTTTGATTAGTTTTTGAATAATATTAACATTTTTGGAAAAGGACATATGTGTAATATTTAAATTTTTGAGTAATTATGATATTTCCCAAATGACTAAGGACGAATATGTAATAATACATTAAATAAATAATAATAATAAATAAACGACAACAAATTTTTCTTAGATCATCAAAAAGATTAAAAAACAAAAAAACTCAACTTTATCACTGCCGGCATTATAAACAGACCTCTGACACACTTCACACTCATCTATATGCGTGCTGTCCTTCTTCCTCCCCTTCCTCCCTCGCTCTTCCTCTTCCTCCTCCTCTTACTCTTCCCTCCTCCCTCTCTTTTTTGTCGATATTGCTTCACAAACAACAGTAAGACACCTTAATAAAGATGGAGAGGAAACTCCTCCAGTTTGCGTGCCCACCATTCATCTTCTTCCTTCTCCTTATCATCCCCTCGATCTCCGCCGCCGAACACCTTCAGACGTACATCGTACGGGTGGACGCCGACGCTAAGCCCTCCATCTTCCCCACCCACGCCCACTGGTACGAGACCGCCGTCCTCGCCGCCGCTGCTTCCTCCGACGGCAGCGCCGCCTGGACCCCCGGTGGCCCGCTGATCCACACCTACTCGTCCCTCTTCCATGGCTTCTCCGCCCGCCTGTCCCCATCGGCTGCCGCCTCCCTCGCTTCCTCTCCTGGCGTCCTCGCTGTCCTCCCCGAGCTCATCCGCCACCCGGATACCACGCGGTCCCCCGAGTTCCTCGGCCTCCTCTCCTCCGACCGCACCGGGCTCCTGGCCGAGTCCGACTACGGTTCCGAGCTCGTAATCGCCGTCGTCGACACCGGCATCACCCCCGCCCACCGCAGCTTCTCCGACCGTGGCCTTGGCCCCGCTCCCGCTCGCTGGCGCGGCGAGTGCGTCTCCGGGCCGGGATTCCCGGCCTCTTCCTGCAATCGCAAGCTCATCGGCGCGCGTTACTTCTCCGGCGGATACGAGGCCACCTCAGGCCGCATGAACGAGTCCGCTGAGCTCCGGTCCCCGCGGGACACTGATGGCCACGGCACCCACACCGCCTCCATCGCCGCGGGGCGCTACGTCTTTCCCGCCTCCACCCTCGGCTATGCCCGCGGCGTCGCTGCCGGCATGGCACCCAAGGCCCGCCTCGCGGCATACAAGGTCTGCTGGGCCGCTGGCTGCTTCGACTCCGACATCCTTGCCGCCTTCGATGCCGCCGTCGCCGACGGTGTCGACGTTGTCTCCCTCAGCGTCGGGGGCGTAGTCGTTCCCTACTACCTCGACGCTATCGCCGTCGGGGCCTTCGCTGCCGCCGAGGCTGGCATCTTTGTCTCGGCCTCCGCTGGCAACGGCGGTCCCGGCGGACTTACCGTCACCAACGTCGCCCCATGGGTCGCCACCGTCGGGGCTGGGTCCATGGACCGCGACTTTCCTGCTGACGTCAAGCTCGGCAACGGCCGTGTCCTTCCAGGCGTCAGCGTCTACGGCGGCCCCGCCCTCACCGCCGGCCGCCTCTACCCATTGGTGTACGCGGGCGCCGCCCAGGGCGCAGGTGACGGCTATTCCTCCTCGCTCTGCCTCGAGGGTTCCCTCAACCTGGACGCCGTGAAAGACAAGATCGTCCTCTGCGATCGCGGCGTCAACTCCCGCGCCGCCAAAGGCGAGGTCGTTAGCAAGGCCGGCGCCGTCGGAATGATCCTAGCCAACGGCGTGTTCGACGGCGAGGGCCTCGTTGCCGACTGCCACGTCCTGCCCGCCACCGCCGTCGGCGCCGTCGCGGGCGACGAGATCCGCAAGTACATTGCCGCCGCGACACCCAAGTCTCCAGCCACCGCCACCATCCTCTTCCGCGGCACCCGTCTCGGGGTCCGCCCCGCGCCAGTGGTCGCGTCGTTCTCAGCCCGCGGGCCAAATCCCCAGGCGCCGGAGATCCTTAAGCCAGACATCATAGCCCCGGGGCTGAACATAATCGCGGCCTGGCCTGACAACGTCGGGCCCGCTAGTATTCCATCCGATCAACGGAGGACAGAGTTCAACATCCTCTCGGGAACGTCGATGGCATGCCCTCACGTGTCCGGCCTCGCTGCACTCCTCAAGGCGGCGCATCCGGACTGGTCTCCGGCGGCCATCAAGTCGGCGCTGATGACCACAGCCTACGTCAAGGACAACAGGGGAACAACAATGCTTGACGAGTCCACCGGCAATTCCTCAGACGTGTTCGACTTCGGGTCCGGCCATGTCAACCCGCAGCGGGCGATGGACCCTGGGCTCGTCTACGACCTCACGCCGACCGACTACGTGAATTTCCTGTGCAACCTGAACTACACGCAGCAGAACATCAAGGCGATCACCCGGCGGGCGGCAGATTGCCGGGGAGCGAGGAAGGCTGGGCACGCCGGGAACTTGAACTATCCGTCGTTCTCGGCCGTGTTCGTGGAGGACGGGACGAAGCGGAGGATGTCGACGCACTTCATTCGGACGGTGAGGAACGTAGGCAACGGTGCGGCGGTGTACAGGGCGACGGTGCGGGCGCCAGAGGGGAGCACGGTGACGGTGGAGCCGACAGAGTTGGCGTTCCGGAGGGCAGGGCAGAAGCTGAGCTTTTTGGTGAGGGTGAAGGCGGCCACGGCGGAGAAGCTGGCGCCGGGGAGCTCCAGCGTGAGGAGTGGAGCATTGACATGGAGCGACGGGAGGCATTCTGCGAACAGCCCCATAGTGGTCACAGTTCAGGCGCCATTGTCATGATGCGAACATGCAAGCTGCAATGCTTTTGCTTCGATGGAGTGGACAACCTGCGTCCTAGCGCTGCTGGGCTTTAGAAAGCTTCAATATATGCTAAGGTTTTTCTTCTCTTGCTTTCCTTGTCGTCGCTGTTCTACAGGACCCCTTTGTCGAGGGGCTTATATGATGTTCACAGGTATGTATATGTGTTGAAGATGAGGGTGTGGTTTCAGTCATGTAAGAGAGGGAAAGTCGTCTCTGGTGCGTTGGAAAGTGTATCGACACCAAAAGCAGGAAGAGAAAAAGAAAGATCAACAAGGGATGGGAGGATTGATGAGCTCGGTGTCAAGTAACGTTCTTCTGTAGCAAAACAATGCACCGTCGTCCATCTGGCTTCTGTGCATCTGACCGAGGCATGTGACTAGTTTAGCTAGGTTGTCACCGTGCAGTGGGGAGAGAGAACCAGTGGGGGTGAATAGTGCTGTGGTTAATGAGCTCGGCTCCAATTTTCCAACCCTTAAAGAAGACTGCAGTGAGTGCAGATATGGATGTGCGTACCAGCTGGGCCTGCCACTGCCAGTGTCAGTGCCAGTGCAGATGACTGGAAACGGATCTGACGGTACTACACCAGCTGGTGGGAGCAGGGATGTTTTGGAATTTGTGGTGCCACGCTAACACCTTCTCTCACAGGACGGCCCAATGCAGTGCAGCCATTTAATTAGCTGGTCTCCGTGTGGGGATGAGATCCTCTCTGCAGTGAGGCATCTCGATGAATAGAAAAAGGTGACCATAAAATAAACACCACCTAGTTTTGTAGGTAAATTTGAGTGGCGTCAGCAGCTTTCTCACCAGTGATTTGGATCGGAACATGGCCAGACTTCCTGCTCGATCATTGACAGCCGAAGAACACAATTAAATCAATCTGCTGAATGAACTGACGCCCAGGTCGCAGGAGATCGAGCTTCCTTGATCGATGGAATTGTACCGCGACGTTATTTTCTAGGCCACATCTGCTTTCTCGGGCACAAGGAACTCTTGCAAATGATTTACCATCACTACGAATCGATAAATTAAGATGAGCTTTGATTGCAAGGTTTATCCTGCGATTTCTGCTGTCTGCCAAATGGACTGGCCTAAAGACCGATTGCTGGATGATTCCGACGACGAATGCATCCGGTTCTTGATCAGAGCAGAGGTTTCCAAGTGGAGTCAGCGAGGCGTAAACATCGTGTATCGGCATTGAATGGTTAGGACTGGTTACAAAGCTGGGAATCTGAAACCAGCAATGAGTTGCCACTATGTCCGGATCTACGAGTTCGTCGCGATATTCGATGCAGACTTCGAAGCAAACCCGGATTTCCTCAAGCTCAGCATCCCACATTTGAAGGTAAACACGTCCGGCAGTTGTCGATTGGTGTGAAGGGCGAGTTCGAGTGATGCTAGCTGTGCATTAGTTTGTGATCCAGCGAAATCCTGAGCTCGGATTAGTCCAGGCACGGTGGAGCTTCGTGAACAGGGATGAGAACCTGTTGACTCGTCTCCAGTACATCAACCTCTGCTTCCATTTCGTGGTCGAGCAGCAGGTGAATGGAGTCTTCTGCAACTTGTTCAGGTTTAGTGGGACTGCGGGCGTGTGGAGGATCAAACCTTTATTAAAGAATTATTATGAAATAAATTCTTGTGATCCTTTTTTTTTTTTCTGTTATCTGGAATGTATCATTTATTTGTCACCATAATAAGAACTTTTATCTCCATAGTGAATTGATGGCAAAGCAATACAAATAATACAAAATAAGAACCATCTCCTTAGTAAGCTGAACTGATGACAAAGCAATATAGATAATGCAACAAAAGAATAATCTTCTTAGTAAACAGATGACAAAGAAATATAGATAAAAATTATGAAAACTTTGGAAAAATCCATGAAAAAATTCACAAGGAGAAAAAGAAGAGATTGATGTGCTCAAGTTTCAACTTAGCTAATAAAAATTAAAGAACAAAAAGATGTTTAGATAATTAAATATAACGAGTTAACGAGTTAACCAAAAATTGCAACAATGTAATAACCAGTGTCGAAAATATACCCAGAAAATAAGAAGAAGATTGAAATCGATGATACATTTGAAAAGCATCTGCTTAATAGAGATAGTAATAATCGTAAATCTATATCACAAAAAAAAATTAATAGGGAAAAGCACATAAGTAGGAATATCAAATTCTAAAAAAAAATTGACGGAAGTGTATGGCAACATAATAGAAAATTATGTTACAATAACAGTCTTCATCACCACATCTTGCATGTAATAGAAATAACAAAGCATAAGAAGAAATCAAGTGCAACATAATCATTAATTAAACGACACCTCGCAAAGAAAAAAATAAAATTTTATAATGAAAATCAAGTAAATCAAAGATCAAGGTGTAGATCAATGGATAAGGTGGTCGATGTTGTACTTGTTTTGGATCCTTTGATTTTTCGGGTTTTGTTTTCCATCTCAATTGATAATCTATACCTTGATCTTTGATTTACTAGATTTTCATTGTGAAGTTCCTATTTTACCTCTACCAAGTGTTGTTTAATGATGATTACGTTGCTCTTGATTTCTTCTTATGTTTTGTTATTTCTATTACATGCTAGATGTGATGATGGAGGCTACTAATGTAATATATCTTTCTTTCATGTCTTTCCCCATTAAAAATTTATTTTTTAAATATATTTAAGGTTATTATGATCTCTTACAAGTAAATGCTTTTCAAATGTATCATTAATTTCTATCTTGCCTTATGTTTAGGGTACATCTTTGGTTACATTCTTGCAATTTTTAGTTATGAAGTTATATCGTAATATTCAGTTATCTTTTATGTTTGATTTTTTGCCTCTTTTAGTTGTTTTGTTCTATTTTTAAATTATTTTTATACCAAAAAATAAACATCTTTGTTGTTTATTTTCTTTTCATTTTTTGGGGGGGGGGGGCTAAGTTGAAAATTGAGCATATCAATCTCTTCCTTTTTCTCTTTGCTTACTTTTTCAGATTTTTCATAAATTTTATTCATATCACTTTATCATTAGTTTACTAAGGAGATTGTTCTTATTTTATATTATCTGTATTGCTTTATCATCAGATAGTTTTTATTTTGTATTATTTGTATTGCTTTACCAGTTTACTAAGTAGATGATTCTTATTTTATATTGATCTTTTTTTTTATTTTTTTCATTTTTCCCAACAAGTGATAAGTAAAAATAAGTTTTTGTTATAGTTTATTCTCTTTCACACTATTAATGTAGTGATTTTAAAGTAGTGTGATTTTGTTACCAAGAAATCTGTGTTGTGTCTTTGAGTAAGTCCTTTTATTTACTCATATAAGATAATTCTGGAGATATGTTAGACTACAAAACCACTTCTATCCATTCCCAGATTCTTAAGCTTACTATGGAACTCTCTCTCTCTCTCTCACTATGTTTTCTACAAAGTATTCCAAACCTTCAATTTTCCTAGTGAAAGAGCATCAATCTTCATCATTTGGAGAGTACATTTCACATAATTTTATGTTTAGGATGATGCTTAATATAATTAGAGTAGGTAATGGCAACCACATCCCCATATGTAAGTATAAGGTTGTGCATATATATCTTTCCAAGACCCTCCTACATCAGGGGGAAGCTGTATTTTCTTATTAAAAATATTTAAATATTTATTATTCTCAATGAAATAAAAATCTTATTCAAAGTAAGATTTTCTTTGACAGAGTTGTGCAAGTGAGAAAAAAAATATCCATTATATGTGAAGATATAAATTTGATATGTGATGGATCAGCTTAGAAGCTTGAGGACTTGCATAGACCCAAAAAAAAAAAGTCATGAGATGACCAACAAGAAAATGTTTCTTTTCATCCTCTCATTTCTTTGTGATTGCTTTTGACTAGAAAAGTGACTTCTTATGTCTTTGATATGACACATTCATGCACCAAACTGTCCTAAGTTCATTTAACTTGGACCAAAAAGGGGTGAAATGGTCAACACAGAATCAACATTCAACTTTGTTATTGATTATCTTACACCACCTTCTCTTCTTTGGTCATGTAACACTTTCTACTAAGATATATCCTCTTCTTGTCAACAAAATCTAATCACCATAGATCTAAGTCAGTGCAATTAGGTGGCAAAACCACAATCTTGCCTTTTTCATGAATGAGATTGCATTAGAAAGAAGATAATTGGATGATTGAAAACTAGTCATGTCAATTTAATCTGTATTTTATGATTATAATTAGACAACCTGAAAAGCTTCTCTCTCTCTCTCTCTCTCTCTCTCTCTCTCTCTCTTCCTAAACAACTCTTGATAATGCAACATAGTGAGGAAAAAAATCCTTCTACTTCACTTATGTATAGAAAGATGATCTTCAAGAGATAAGAAATTTATTATCACTCATTCACATCCATTACATCTATCATGTCAAGTTGATCCAATATCATATCAATATATATATCTCAAATCTTGCTATAAAAACACAAACAACTTTTCCTTTATTTCTCTATAAAAATTGAAAGGCAAGCACTAGAAGTAACTACAACATTCTTAGGTAGCAAATTGTGAAGTGGTCTCCATGGTGGTGGTGTGAGGAGCCAACAAGAAGCTTGACGAGGCAAGGCAATGCAGGCTCATCTAAAGAGACAAGTATCAGGCTGAGGCTGATGATAGAGATGCCATGACAGTGATGCAAAACTGACCTGTGGATGTCATCTATCATGAAATCAACCTTGATCAATTGATCTTTGGTGGATCTGTCTCCCAATGTTACATTTAAGTTGTTGGTGATCTTTCTAATGGAAGATAATCTCCATTAGGTCACATCTCTCTCTCTCTCTCTTTTCATTTTTTTTCTTTTTGTTAAGGTAAGTAATTTAAGATTGTAATCATGATTTATGATCATTTGCAAGCTTTTAATGCACTCAAAGCAATGAAAAATAACTACATGCTAATTTATCTAATTTTCATCATCTAAGTGAAATAGAAAAAATGAATAAAAAACTTTAATAATCATAAAAGTGACAAAATAATATATTTGATCTTGAATAAATGATGTCCAATAATTCAAGAATGACAAAATATACTAAATCAAATCATCATCATCTTCATCATGGGACGACATGTATTATATAAAAACTTCCAACGAGTGATTAAAGGTATAATTATGTCATGAAAGATTTGTTTATATCATGATTGAGGCTAAGTAATACCTTTAGATTAGGTGACTCATCTTTGGCCCATGGTTTTGAAGAAATCATGATGGACATTAGATTTGTTCTCTAGAGAAGCATAATCCTTCACCCAATCAAACCTCCAACTCTTGTTTGTCTCTTCCTTTAGATGTGGATGTTCACAATGAAAGAAAGACGCATGATGAGGTCCTCATGGCACCATCAAAGTGACTCAACAAGACAATTAGTGTGAGATTAACAATTAATTCCAAGATCCTATGTTGCGACTCATGATGTCATTTCCAATGTGATCCTTAGGTTTCTTTTTCCACCCAATCTATCACTCATCTCTCAACCCAATTCAAACAAACCACTAAAATGTCCCTCACTTCCAAGATTAATTGCAAGATTGCATATATATATATATATATATATATATATATATATATATATATATATATATATATA